GCTGCCAGTCTGGGATTCACAATGACCTGCATCTGGTCTCTGGAGTGACTGACTGGCTCTTGCATAGAGAATCCAATCTTTGTACAAATACAGCAATTTTTAGGGCCTGTCCGTGTTCTTGGGATTTTGAACTCAACGTTTAATATTTTGTGCTTCAGTGTTTAGTATTCTTACAAATGTCATGGACTGCTTCCTTGGTTTTAGGTCATTACAGTTTGACCCATTAACAAGGTGTTGGGGATACAAATTTCGTGATTTTCCTTCAGTAGCATTTAACGTATCTTAAAGGCGACTTTTAAACCACTGTGAATGCTAGGCTGTTGTTAGATGTATATTACAGGGAGACTTTTCTTCAATATGTGGAATATGGCTAACAGGACTTGGAAGTTCTCTTACAAGAATAATGTGATCAGGTTTATTGATTTATCTGTATGATTTACCCAAAGCCAAGAGGTGCATGTGCCACTTTCAGAAGGAAAGAATGAAAAATGGCTGTGTTTTTATTGTCCTGTTTGTACAGCCTCACTTAGCTGCCCAGAGTCTCAGAGCAGCTGTCCTCCTTTCATTTCTCGGTGTAGTCGATCATGTCATCATGGTCTTGCTCATGGGTCCCACGAATAGTAACTTTGTAATCAGCAAATGTATCATTTTAGGTCTTTTCCTTAGTGGAAATTTCTGGTTCTTGCTCTCATAGGCTGCTTGAACTTCACCCGGCCAACTAGTTAGAAAGCTAAGATGGCAAAGTCTCTTGCTCTGAATTAACCAAGTACACCCGTGAGTTTAATACCGTGCAGCTAACCAGCTAACTTGGAGGAGTCGGTGTCATCCCAGTGTGGTTACATCAGTCTAATGGTTTATTAAGCTTCGTCCATCAGGAGAGATGAAGACTTTGCTATCACTTCTCCTCTCAAGAAGGAAAGATACCTGTTGACTGGCCCCAGTGAGGACAATGCCCATCGCATCCATTTCCTAAGGGTCAGGGGTCTTAGGAAACATTCAACGAAATCTTAGTATTTAAAAATAGTCCATGTATTAACAGCCTGTTCTACGTGTATGTAATGTGTTTTTTTCTTTAAAATCAATCACAGCAAATTGCCAAGCGGGCATGCTTTTTCCTCACCAAACGTTTTCTCTTGCTTCCTAGTTGGACTGACTATTCCCATCTCATCTATATCTTTTGAAGAGAAATGTTTTTGCTTAAAAAATGAGATTCGCTTTGTAGCTTGGCTTCAAACCAGTGAACATATGCGTGGGCCCTTTTCCCATCTTTCACTCTCTTCTTACCCCCACCCCCACAAGAAAGTCTATTGTCTTGATTAGTGACTTTGGGTTCCTTTAAGGAGATTTAAATTTTGAATTTGTCGGTAGTGGTTCCCTTTTGTTTCACAGACGTGGCCAGGCCTAGCACTGTACACTGGTCATAATCAAGGATGACTTATGCTAAGCGCTGACTTCCTGAACACAGTGGCATTTTGTCAAGTGGTCTTCCCTTGGAAACAGCTGGCAAGTAAGCTTTTAAGTCAGTGGGGTTTTGTTTTTTGTTCTCATTAAGGGAAATGTCCCTGATCCTGGCTGCTGTGCTTTTTAGGAAGTATTTTGTTTTGACTCGAGGACTTCACATCAAGTGGTACCATCCAAGATGTTTTCATTTTTTTGTAAACTATTTTCTCGTAGCCTGCATTTAAGTGCCTGCTCTTCGTCTTACTGACCATTCGTTGGGAAAGTACTTGTTGGTTTTCTAACAAGTAAATATCAATGGACCTCTGTTTATCCTGTGATATCAAACCAATCGGACGTGTATGTGCATTTGAAGAGTTCCCAGATCCCTTCTTGAGGATCTACCTGTGTTCCTGTGCATGTTTGGGAACTACGTGAACATCAATCCTGAGTTTTTTGTTTTGTTCTTTTAGAAAATTGCAGTTGGATTTTTGTTTTTCAGACATCTTACCTGACGCAGAGTATTTCGGGTTTCAATCGCTGGGCCATCTGCATGGCTGTGAAGTGTTTGGGGCTGCCCCAGGGTTCGGGGGTGGGGTCTGCCAAACCTGACCTTATGCCCCACCTTTCCTTCAAAGAAAGTACGTCTCACATATTTCCTGAGTGTTTTGGGATTCTTTCCATGATTTAAGAAAAAACTGTCCCGGGGGAGGATATAGCTCAGTGGTACAGTATGTGCTTAGCACGCACAGGGTCCTGGGTTAATCCCCAGTATCTCAAAGAAAAAACTCGGTTGTTTTTTTTTTGTCTGTCTGTTTGTTTTAAAAGAAGATTGAGAGCCTCTTGTGTGAGCATGGATTTCCTTCCAGATTTGAGAATTGGTCCTCATACATCCCCTGTTGTCAGCAGTGGGCCAGACTCTGATACCTGTAGGGCCAGATTTGCTTTCTGCTTATTTTATCACTTGGCAGCTGAAAGCCGTGTACTCCAGTGCTCTGCAGGGTAGCAGTCGGTGCCTCTTGACTTCCCAGCAAATACCCACCTTTCACATACATCCAAGGCCAGCGAGGGCGTCCCGTGGGGTAATGCAGTGACACGACACGTTGTTTTCATAAAGGTGTCGGTTAACTTTGCAGTGAGTAACATCTGCCCTCTAGAAAGTTTTCTCCTGTTTCTTGTGTCTTCAAACGCTCCCTGCTGCACCGGGGCCACCCTTCTCAGTGCGCGAAGGCTCCAGTGGAGCTCTCCGTCAGTTAGGCTCGTGACCTGGAGCAGATCCGAGGGTGACGGACCAGGAGCTCACAGCAGCATCTCTGTGGCCCCCTTGGGGCCCTCCTGATTGCTGTCCTCACTCCCCAGCACCTCCCTTCAACTTCCCTGCCTCCCCTCCCTTCTCCCAATGGCCTCTCTCCTTTGGCACATTTTCCTGAGATGCTTCAGAGCTCTTTACAGGCGCCTGGTCCTCCAACAAGCCCAGGAGTACCTCTGTCTACACTGGGCAGCTAGGGGATTGGCACCAGCCTCAGAGTATGCTCGGAGCCCCTGCCCGGGCTGTGTGCAGGCGCCCACCCACTTCGTCCCCACGTTCTGCCCTGCTTGCTGAGTTCAGCCCTGCCCTTGAGAGTAAGCTAGAATGGTGGACAGAGACCTGTGATGCAGCAGAGAAACAGGGAAATCTGGATGAACCCCCAGTGCTGGTAGGATTAAAACAACAAAGCAGTGATTTGAAAGCACCCAGCCTGTGCTCCAAACTCGCCCTGTACTCACCAGCCTATGACCTGGGGGAGGTGGCCAGTGTTGGAAATGGCTGGGGGTGGCACTGCCACGTGGAATCAGGGACAGGGTTAGGCACGGTGATGGCTGTGATCTGTTAGCACAGCCTGGGGGCTCTGTGAGTCCTGGACACGGAACCCTTCTGATGTCATCATAGGCCATGCTTGCTTTCTGAGAGCTCCCCTTTTGAATTTCCATCTTTTACCTGCCTCGACCTTTGGCTCTGCTTGCTTGTCCCCTCATTTGAGTTCTGCTGTCCTGTCAGTTCTAGATGCTTTTATTGAACCCGTGCAGCTGGGCACTGTCTCCCGCCCGGTTGTGGCCCACCGGAGTAGGGAGACATTTGCTGTGAGCTGAGTTTCCTCTAAAAAATAGGGTATCTGCGTGGTGGGCAGCCTGTCACCCACTGCCCCCGGGAAACGATCCTGAATCGCTTGGTACATAAGCTCCTTCCTCCCCGTCTTTTATTCAGGTGCACGCCACCGGCTGGCTGCACACACACACTCTGGACTTTTCTGTTACTATTCTTTACAGCTCTGATGGTACTTTTTAAGAAAATAAAATTCATCAGTGCACAGAAAAAATAAACCAAAGACCAAGATTTGCATCCAACCTAAGATTTGTTTTCAATGAAATAAAAATGTAAAACTTCAGCTCACCCACATTTACAACTAAGAAGAAAGCATGCCCTTCATTCAGTAAAGATAGCAAACTTGAGACCTGCTTTAATTCTGCATCAAGACCAGTTCAGGATACAGAAAGGGTGAGGCTGTGGGAAGTAAAGGAGATGTGGGGGGAGGAAGGAGACCAGGAGCGATGCAGGCCCAGGGGAGCTCGTGGGTCCAGCCAGTCCTCCCGTCATTGAGATCAGTTTCCTTAACAGTAACTCCCTGACTGGTAACGCCAGTCATCATTTCTCTTCTGGAAACAAGTTTACTCCAGAATCCTGTTGATCTCGTTGTCTTTGGTATAGTTTGCATTCTAGAAGTTCCTTTGGGACATTTGGAGGGGTTGGTCTGCTTGGCCTGTTGGCTGCTCACGGTGGTGGGTTGTCCGTCTTCTCGGGCATTTGGTTGAGTCCATGGTGCTCGAAGCTGCATTGTGAAGCCCACATTTACCCTGATTTCTGAGTCCTTCTCTCCTGAAACCAAATTTATTTCAGTGTTTTGGTCTTGTTAGTCCTAATGGCAACAGTGTGTAATATGAATCAAAGGGAAAACAATATTCACCACAAAAAAATTAGAATAAGTGGGCGGATGGCTGTTCCAGCTCTCGGGCCAAAGCCTCACTGCTCATTCTTCTGGAGCAGCAGCCACAGTGGGATATCCTTGCAGGGCCTGGCCCGAGCATCCCTCTGCCCGTCCTTGCCATGGGCTGGACGAGTGACCTCACAGCTCCCGGCGTGAGTAGAGTCAGCAGTCGGGCTCTGGGAACTGACCTCCTGGCCCACTGAGCAGGTGACCCACTGGGTCTTTGAACACCGCCCGTGCTGGCACTGTGAGCGGGTTTGCGGCTGGTGGAGCAGGAAAGGGTGGACCAGGCCCTGCCCCCCTTTCACGGAAATGACGAGCAATAAAACGGGGCGGGGGAAGGGGGATCGTAAACCCTAGACGCTTGTGCTTTGCTTGCCAGTCGGCAGTGGTTTGGAAAATATTGTGAAAGACAACCAAGTGGCTACCATGAGTCTGCACATTCATATGGTTTGTGTTTGACTTGGAACACCCGAAACCAAACCCTTTAATTTCACTTGAGTATAAGTGGTGCATTGACTGAAATGTCCTGTCCTACTTAAGTGGAGGCAGTGGCAAGGGGGGTGATGTAACACCAGAGGGGTTTGGGGGTGTGATTTACACACAGCCAAGTGGGCCCATCAAGATGGACAGCTCAGTGGGATTTTGCATGTTTACACCCTCCCAGCCCCCCCGGGGCCCCTGAGCTCCCTCCCTGTTGCTGCCCCCATCTTTGAAAGTAACCAGTACCTGATGTCTGTTCAACATCCCTCTCTCACCCTCGGCACCATGGACATCTGGGGCCAAGAATTGTGTGTGGGTGGCAGTCCTGTGCGTTGTAGGATGTTTGCATCATCCTGGCATCACGTGCTGGATACCAGCTGCACTCCCCCTCCACTGGTGACAGCCAGAAACATCAGCATACACTGCTGAATTTCCCCTGGGGGCTCAAACCTCTGCAGAAAGTTTGACTGGTGAGGACTTGATAGGAACAGCGTATGCAATATGTACTCTTCTCTCACCCTGCATCCCTGCAGTGGTTGGTCCCATCGCAGGGTTAACACAATCCCTGTGTGTTGAAATTCGTAGTGGGTGGATTTAAACTCTCAGAATTATATACAGAAGTGTGCCAGCTTTACTCACAGTGTTTCCCCTGGTAAATGATTCTCAAAATGAAAAACTCTCATAGTCTAGAACACAGAAAACCCTTTCCTTCCTGTTTACCATTGATGTAAGACTCACCTGATAATCAGATGCCAGGCTAGACAGGTGACATTGAGTCTGGGCACAGTATCTTCCTAATCCTTGGCAAAATCCTAGGAGGAGGGGGCTACACTAGTCCCGTTTATAAATGAAACAAGCTTAGCTGGTAGTTGTTTGCAAAGTTTCCACGTGTTCTACCTCATGTAGTAAGTCACGTCCTTCCACTCAGTTTTCACAGCCTCTGAGATGGGCAGAAGCTGGTATCCATTTTCTGGAGGACGTTTGCATGAGTGACAGGTGCAGCCATGCAGGAATCCAGCTTTCTGGTTCCCAGTCCCGAGCTTTAGCAGAGGGGCTGACAGCTGGTTAATCACATCTCTTTCTATCCTCTCACCCATGCATTTGCCACCTTGAATTACCAATTCCCCAAATCCAGGGCAAAACAAAAACAAAAGACAAAACCCAAAAAACTGAAAGCAAGTACCTTCCTCTAAGCATCACTGGTGCTTGTCTCTGTAAGTCCCCCCCGCCCCCACCCCAGTCTATTCATGTGTTCCAGTTTTTCTACACTGGGCATTTTTTACTTTCTAAATTTAGAAATGCCATTAATGTCTGAGTGTCATCAGCCCAGGTAGCTGCTGGAGCCCCCACTCCTATTCCCCACCCCCAGCTTCTCAAAGACCAAGGCTCCCAGGTTCTCTAAGTTCCAAAGTTCGGCCGTGTTGCAACCCTAGACGTTTATCTCGATTTCAGTCATTGGGGAAACACATCTGACAAATCTGTATCCACTTAAAATTCAAGCACTGGTTTGAGAATTAACGTGAAATCCAGTGTGTACACTAAATTAAATGCAAGCAACTAATTCTACTTTTAAATAAATACAGAGCCCGTGCTATCTGGGCACCACATGCCGTTCTGTTGGGACAAGTTCAGCACAAACAAATCCTGAACCTAAGGGTTAAACTCGTATTTAAATACTTACTGGTTTCCAATTTCTGGGGAAAATATGCCTGGGAAAAATGTCTTTGGGGTTTCATCAAACATTTGGAAAATAATCTGAAAACATTTTTCCAAACCCTAGATGGTTCCAGCCCGAGTCCTAATTGATACTTAATAACTATGTCTGCAGGGGCTTTCTCCTTTTATTGTTAGTCCTTTAAATGCTGAGGAGACCTCCGTGCTAAGAATTCATACTGGTGCCAGTGGCGTCTGGGGATCATGCTATTCTGGCCAGTCTCTTTCCACCATCACAAAACAGCTTCCCTTCCCACAGAAATACTTGGCTAAGCCTACTGTTAACTCTTACGAGAATCAGATCTTGGTCAATTTCAAGTAAATTTATTTATTCATCAAACCATTAGTGAGCACTGACTGCAGTCAGGTTTCCTTCTGATTGCAGGGAGATCCAAAATAGAAGGAGGTGAGAATTTTGACAGCTCCCATCTTGAAGGAGTGACAGCGGGAGAAAGCAAGACCCAGGCAGTGGGGTGGATAAAGTGGTGAGAGCTGGTCACAGAACAGGAGCAGGGGTGGTGGGAGCCCCTCGGGCTGGAAGAAGCCTGGAGGAGGGGTTGCCTGGGCAGTGCGAGTTCAACTTTAGTCTCCTTTTCCAGAATTATTTTATCTATTCTAGGTTCTTTCCACATTGCTTTTAACACCAGCTTGAATCTGTCTACAAAAACTCATGCTGGAATTTTGATTGGAAATGTGTTTAGCCCTAGAGGTCTGTTTGGGGAGAATTTACAAGTGAATTACATTGTCTTCCAACCTCTAAACATGGGATGTCTCTCCATTTATTTTGGTCTTCTTTGATTTCTTTCATGAGCATTTCGATGAAACATATAAATCATGTACACTCTTTGTTACATGCACACCGAAAGTATTTCATTCTGGGGTGCATTTGGAAACAGTATTATTTTAATTTTTTCAGTTATCAATTGTTTATTGCTGGAGAATAGGAATACAATTGATTTTTGTATGTTGACTGTATGCTGAGACCTTGCTAAACTCACATAAGCTGCTTTTGTACGTTCCTTCAGATTTTCTACATGATAATGGTGTATACAAGTAGGGACAGTTGTATTTCTTTCTTTCCAGTCTGTATGCCCATGGTTTCATTTTCTTGCTGTCTTTCCTTGGTCAAGCCTTCCAGTAAAATGAGTCCTAAGAATGGTAAGAATATATATACTTGCCTTGTTTCTGCCCTAAGGGAAGGCAGGTCTTCCACCATTCAATATGCTAGTTGTGTGATTTCTGTAGATGTGTTTTATCAGACTGAGGAAGTTCCTTTCCACTAACAGTTTTTTGAGGGTTTTTTTTTTCTTATCATGAATGATGTTGAATTTTGTCAAATGTTTTTCTGCACCAGTTAATAAGATTCTGTGTTTTTTTTTCCATTAGTCTATTAGTATGATGGAGTCTCTTTTTGTTTTAATTGAAGTACATTCAATTACAATGTGTCAATTTCTGGTGTATGGCACGATGTCACGGCCCTGCACATACATACGTATATTTGTTTTCATTTTTTTTTCATTAAAGGTTATTAGAAGGTATTGAACATAGTTCCCTGTGCTATACAGAAGAAACTTTTAAAATCTATTTTTATATATAGTGGCTAACATTTGTAAATGTCAAACTCCTGAATTTATCCCTTCCCACCCCCTTTCCCCAGTAACCATAAGATTGTTTACTAAATCTGCAAGTCTTTTTCTGTTTTGTAGATGAGTTCATAGTGTCTTTTTGTTGTTGTTGTTAGATTCCACATGTGAGTGATACCATATGGTAGTTTTCTTTCTCTTTCTAAAGCTTCACTTAGAATGATGATCTCTAGGTCCATTCATGTTGCTGCGAATGGCATTATTTTATTCTTTTTTATGGCAGAATAGTATTCCACTGTATAATTATACCACAACTTCTTTATCCAGTCATCTGTTGATGGACATTTAGGTTGCTTCCATGTGTGATGGAGTGTCTTGACTGATTTTTTTTGATACTCCACCAGCCTGCATTCCTGAAATAAATACCATTTGGTTATGGTGTAAGATATTTCTTATCCATTGCTAGATCTGATTTGCTAATATTTGTTGAGGATCTTTGTGTCTGTGTCCATGACGCACAGTGGTCTGAACACTTTTTTTTGTACTGTCTTCATACAGTTTGGGTGTCAGAATAATACTGGCCTCATAAAATGAGTTGCTAAGTTTTCCTTCCTGTGTAGGACTGGTGCTACTCCTACTATAAACATTGGTAGGTTTCACTAGCAGAACTATTTGGGCCTGAAGATTTTCTTTTTCATAAGGTTTTAAACTACAAGTTCAATTACTTTAATAGATATGGGATCCTTGGACAATCTGTTCCATCTTGGTGCCCTCTCTGCTCCTCCTGGTGCACAATTCCTTTCCAGCGGCCTGTGAGCTAAGGCCAGGACATATCTGAGAAGGTGGAAGCTCACCACCGCCCCAGGATGCTTTGACTTCTGGCTCCTCCCCAGTCTGTCTACCTCCATTTACTTCTCGGGGTCCTCAGAGAGCAGCTTCCCGCAGACCCTAAGGAGTTGCAATTTATTTCAGTGCAAGAGCCAAGAGGGTCAGTGCTGGTCCACCCTGGCGGAACCAAACCTCCATGGTTTTATTTTTAATAACAATAATGTGCAGGAGCCCGAGGCAGCTGAAGCTGTTGAAGAACTTGCACATCCTGGCATCGCAGGGACCCAGAAAGTCAGTCAGACTTCAGCTTAGAAGCCGTTTTCCTTGACAGTAGTGTCGGGTCCACTCTGCATTCAGCTTTTCTGGGCGCATGTGTGCCCTTCATCTCCATCCCACAGTGGGCATGTTGAGCTGAATTTCGTTCTGCTCTTAACTGGATAAGTGGAGAAAATCAGAGTGGACAGTTCTTGGGGGGCTGGCCAAGGCCTGCCATGTCTTACATGGAGAAGCTGAGGCACAGAGCAGATACATGTGGCAGAGTGAGGGTCCCACCTGGTCTCCTGCCTCCCAGGGCCAGGCAGTGGCAGGGATGGAGGGTACTTGGGGTCTCAGTTAGCAGAGTGCAACTCATCTAGGAAGTGAGAGTGCTTGGCTCAAGTCCACACAGCCAGGAGTCTATATTTTAAACACTCCTAGTAACAGCTACCACTATTAAGCACTTAATGCACACTGACCATTATGTACTTATGTTTACTGAGCACATCATAATCCTCTTATTTGTCTTCATGGCAGCCCTGAGAGGTACATCATGTTTACTATCCTCGTTTACAGATGAGAGGAGTGAGGCCCAGAGAAGGCAAGTGACTTTCCCAAGGGCACACAGCAAAGAAATGCTATGCTAAGGATTCAAACCCAGGCCCATGTTTTATGGTGCCTCTTAGTCAGGATAAATTAGAAAATAAAATTCTGAAGACATGTCTTCCAGGTAATCACAGGGGGCTGCCTTATCTTTCAAGGACTGTTACTTTCGGAATTTCAGTCTTTCTGTTGATCACAGCTTTCCTAAAGCAAAACCAGCAGATCACTCCCTGTGTCAGCAAACCCTCTTTGCAGAGACCTCGTAAAGAGACTGAGTTGTTTACCCCTCAGATGACTTTAATATTGGTGGGAAATGTTAGTAGAAGAAGAGTTAGCCTTGAAAAGTTTGTACGTTCATGCTGTTCTGTTTTGATTAAGAATTCTGGAAAGCTGGAGAGGTCTTTTCACGTAGAGAGCTGCCGTTTCCCCGCCAGAGTTGGCTCATTCTGTGGTTGGAGCAAGAGCCATCT